CAGGTCCAGTGTTCGATCCCCGATGGTTCACGTGGTTAGGCATCCTTGCTTCACTCCCTCCTCATATCATTCCTTCTCTCCTCTCATATATACCAACTCTTATTCTCTTCTCATGACCCTCACAGGTGATATATAGTCATACGGACAATGCTTTGTCCTGGTAATTGCTTTAATTAGTATTGTTTTGGTAGGTGTCATTGGTAAAAGTGTCCAGGTGTGGAGGGTGACCCTGGTGAGTGTGTCCAGGTGTGGAGGGTGATCCTGGTGAGAGTGTCCAGGTGTGGAGGGTGACCCAGGTGAGAGTGTCCAGGTGTGGAGGGTGACCCTGGTGATTGTGTCCAGGTGTGGAGGGTGACCCAGGTGAGAGTGTCCAGGTGTGGAGGGTGACCCAGGTGAGAGTGTCCAGGTGTGGAGGGTGACCCAGGTGAGAGTGTCCAGGTGTGGAGGGTGACCCAGGTGAGAGTGTCCAGGTGTGGAGGGTGACCCAGGTGAGAGTGTCCAGGTGTGGAGGGTGACCTCGGTGACGGTGGTGTTACAAACGTGAGTGGAGCGTCGCTTCTTTCTTCACGAAAACTAGAAAGAAGACAATGAGAGGAAGCATTGACCTCCCGGTTTGCTGGTTAAAACGGTCGTTTAGCGAGTGAACGAGTGCTGCGGCGCTCATCTTCGCGCCCATAGTTCAAGAATTGGAGACACTTGGGTAGTGTCTTGGGTAGCCGGATGGATAGTCTCAGTGTCGAGTGTGGGCCAGCCGGACGGTCACACTGCTCCAGTGGGTGTGGAGTACTAGTATGGATCAGACCTAATGACTCGGAGCTTGTGATTCCCGCCTATTACCACGGTATCGTGGCGGTGCAGAGCGTAGAGGGGTAAGTACTGGAAGGTCAGTAAGTACTATCTTCAGTCGATTAAGGCAGCGTCTGGGATGCTCTCGGACGTAAGTTCGAGTCCTCGTCACGGCCCGTGTGGATTTTTTTATAAGTACCGGAAGGTTTGGCTGCGACTCCACATGAAGGACGCGACACTGGTTAAACATAGATTGGTTTGTTGATGCTATAGGCATCAGTCTTAGTGTACGGTTTGACTACTGATAAGGTCACGATTACGGCAGTTAGTGTCGTAACTGACGCCTTTAGTGTGATTGACTAGTTTTCATAACTCACACTGACCCTTAAAAACTGACTTGAGGGCCGGATGTAGTTGTTTTGTTATTGCATTATAAGTCACAGGAGGCCTGGTCGACGACCGGGCCGCGGGGACGCTAAGCCCTGGAAGCACCTCAAGGTAACCTCACTCGTCGTGGTTCCACACAGTTTGTCACCGCGTTGGTTATTACAGTACCGAGGCACTAGAGTCTTATGAGGCGGTCCGAACGACCGGTAAGATTCGTAACGATGTATAGATGCAACCCATCCTCGACTCAAGTCCATTACATTCAGCGGTCAACCCCACAGACGCATTCATAAATTTTAACATGCTGTTCATTCAAAACGGGAATTTTCGCAAGTATAAATTAATATTATAATAGCATATTGTGTATATATAGGCATAGGATAGGTTAGGTCAGGTGTTTAGGTTCTGTTGGCAATTATTTGTATTTGTAGTACGTGGGTGAAGCATTTACAGCGTTGTGATTCGAACAAAATTCGTCAGTGAAGCACTTGTTCCGGAAGTCTTCGAACGAAATCAGTTGCGAGTCGTGTGTAAACCGTTTTTCATTCATAAACAGAGGGTTTGGCGGGTGGATGGAATCACTTTTGGATCTTTGTTTGGAGGACGGGCTGGATATATGGTGGTGTGGTTCGAACAGACGTGAGCGAAGCACTTGTTCCGGAAGTGTTCGAACGTCATCAATTGAGTCCTTTCGTAAATTGCTTTTCATTCATAAAGAGGGGGTTTGGAGGCCGGATTAACGAGCTTGGATCTTTGTATATGAGGACGGGATGCCACATCTATCAGCCCGTCCTCCAAACAAAGATCCAAAAGTGATTCCATGCACCCGCCAAACCCCCTGTTTATGAATGAAAAGCGATTTACACACGACTCACAACTGCTGACGTTCGAACATATCCGAAACAAGTGCTTCACTGACGAATTTTGTTCGAACCACAACGCTGTAAATGCTTCACCCACGTACTTCAAATACAAATAATCGCCAACAGAACCTAAACACCTAACCTAACCTATGCCTATTTATACACAATATGCTAATATATTATAATATTAATTTATACTTGAGAAAATTCCCGTTTTGAATGAACAGCATGTTAAAATTTATGAATGCGTCTGTGGGGTTGACCGCTGAATGTAATGGACTTGAGTCGAGGATGGGTTGATATATCAGCCCGTCTTCCAAACAAAGATCCAAAAGTGATTCCATCCACCCGCCAAACCCCCTGTTTATGAATGAAAAACGGTTTACACACGACTCGCAACTGATTTCGTTCGAAGACTTCCGAAACGAGTGCTTCACTGATGAGTTTTGTTCGAACCACATCGCTATAAATGCTTCACCAACGTACTTCAAATACAAATAATCGCCAACAGAACCTAAATCACCTAACTATATATACAATTTTGAAGTATAATATTAATTTATATATGAGAACCCAATTTTTTGTACACGGTATGTTAAAAATTAAGGAATGCGTCTGAGGAGAACTGCCGCTGCTTTAAACAGCCTAGTGTGAGGACGGGTTGAAGGTGGAGTGAGTGTAACCTTGGTGATGGTACCGAGTTGTGGAGGGCGACCTTCCTGAGGGTTTACAGGTGTACTGGGTTATCAGTTTTTAAATTAAAAAGGTAATTTGGATTTACTGTTTTATTAAATTCAAAAATGGTGTTTGGATTCACTGACTGTTCACCTGTTCCCGTGGTAATCTTCGTGACTCCGTACAAGTGTGGTAACTATGGTAACAAAGTGTGGTGGTCTTGGTGACTATAAGGTGTGGTAACTTTGATCAATAATTTGTCACTATAACAATGAGGCCATTGGTGTCTCGCGCCATATTCATGGAACCTTTGGGTTAGGTAAACGAATTTCGTTCCATATAATTAAGAGATAATCCGAAAGGTAGGGGGAAAGGGGGCGCTTTGGCTTAACAGGACCACAAGACTTGTCACTAGAAGATGAAACACATTTAGTCTGTCTTGTATCCTTTGGTCAGAAGAGAGCCTTCACAAACCGTATTTTCTGGGTCGTCGTATTGTGTGTGTGTGCGTGTGCGTGTGTGTGCGCGCGCGCGTGTGCGTGTGTGTGCGCGCGCGTGTGCGTGTGTGCGTGTGCGTGTGCGTGTGTGTGCGCGCGTGTGTGTGTGTGCGCGCGCGCGTGTGTGCGTGTGTGTGCGCGCGTGTGTGTGTGTGCGTGCGTGCGCGTGTGTGTGCGTGCGCGTGTGTGTGCGTGCGCGCGCGTGTGTGTGCGTGCGCGCGCGTGTGTGTGCGCGTGCGCGTGTGCGTGCGCGCGCGCGTGTGTGCGCGCGCGTGTGTGGTTACTAGTTGTGTTTGCGGGGGTTGAGCTTTGCTCTTTCGGCCCGCCTCTCAACTGTCAATCAACTGTTTACTAACTACTTTTTTTTTTTTTCCACACCACACACACACCCCAGGAAGCAGCCCGTGACAGCTGACTAACTCCCAGGTACCTATTTACTGCTAGGTAACAGGGGCACTTAGGGTGAAAGAAACTTTGCCCATTTGTTTCTGCCTCGTGCGGGAATCGAACCCGCGCCACAGAATTACGAATCCTGCGCGCTATCCACCAGGCTACGAGGCCCCTATGTGTGTGTGCGCGCGCGCGTGTGTGTGCGTGCGCGCGCACACATCCTCACCACATAAAGGTATCGCTTCCAGGAAATAAAGGTTCCTACCTGTGTTTACTGGAGGAGAGATCAAGCTCTAGGGTCCCGGTTCTTGGATATTTATACTTGGTCGACGTTCTAGCACTGTCCTCCTTACTCTTAAATCTATTCACTTTGTTCCAAGCGCGTTTCTGGTTAAAATTGTCATCGATAGAATATTTTCTAACAGTTGACACATCTTTCATTTCTAATTTCTGCCAAAGCTTCCTCGTTCTGCTTTCCTTTATCTGGAAAAGATCTTGTCTGCCTACTTCGTCTACTCCACTGGCATAGGTTGTAATCATATCACATCTGGATCATTATCTCATCACGTGTCGTTAGATGGGTCCTCTGAACCCTGTCCTCATTGCTTAGCTCCCTTACCTCTGGTACTAATCTTATAATAAAGTGGAAACTTTAATGTTTGTGCTGCATATTCTAGGGTTGGTCTGACGTATGCTATGTTTAATGATCTGAAGGATTTTTTCCTTATGTTTCTAAATATCGTCTATATGGTTGCCAGTTTCGCGTATGCTACAGATTTTGTTTTGTTTACATCTGTTTATATTTGTGATGTCCACTGCCAAGTCATTCACCGTCTTAGACGTCAGAAAGTGATTTTATATTTTACTGTACTGTCCTTCTGGACTTTTCTCCACACCCAAACTTAATTACTTTGCACTTGTGGGATTGAATTCTAGCAGCCATTTGTGTGTGCAGTGAGCTTGGTGATGGTGTACATGTGTGGCAATATTACAATGATGTAGAGGAGTGGTGGTGGTGGGTTTTGACTCTGATCCTGGACAAAGCGTCTGCACAATGGTGGCGTCGTTCACATTGGAACAACATTAAGAGTGAGGCAGGCAGGCGGGCAGAGAGGGAGGGGGTTGACGATGCCAAGGTGGCAACACTAAACGTCAAAAGTCCGTCTCTCACTCTCTCTTGAGTCCCGCCTGAGTCATCTCATGTGACCCCTGTACCAAGAGTTGACGGAACCCAACTACGCAAGCCCACTGCGCCATACTTTGCGTTAGCGCTGCTGTACGCATCTTGGCACTCCTTCTCTCGTCACTGGCACCAACCACCCCACCCAACTGCGTGCCCTCTTACCCCTCCCTAACACCTACGGTGCCACGACGCATGGGCGGGGTATATAAGAGTGAGGGCGCCGCCGCGGACCTCAGACAACAACGAAGACGTCCCAGTGATCTACTACCAGCACCTCTACGCCACCGCCAGACAGTGTACCGCAACCATGACTCGTTAACATGTGTACGACCTGAAATATATTGTCAGTGGCGAACAGAAAGACTTTAAGACAGAGGAAAGCGTCTCCAAGACCGGGGCTACTCTCAGGGTGCTCGTTCAAGGATTACCTCGAGTGTGACCGAACCTGTGACAGTTTAACATTATCACCACACCCACCACACGTGAGTCTCATCACGGCTGCTTTCATTGTAAACATTATAATGCCTCTTATTATCCCACGTGCTAGTATGGGTGTATATATGTACGTAATACCTTTTCCTTGTACTATTACAATGTTATAATCAGCTTTCGAAAATGAGTGAGCTTTCTAGCTGTGAGAAAGGGATTCTTAACACTGTGTAATTAGTTGATATTCAGAATTGCATGCTAATTGTCACTAATGTGTAGACCTAACATGTCATGCTTGATGGTGGCACAGTAATTCTAAAGTGTGGAAGAAGTCGTATTGTTGCTATAATTCTTGATTGTGTTCTGGAGACAGAAATATCTAAACAAAACACTAACTTTAAAATAGTTTCATCAGCTCGGATAATTATTAAATCAAATCTCTCAGAACGTCAATTCAGTATATTTATTCTATGTGTGCATAATTACTCTGCAAACGTCAGTATAAGCGTAAGTATAAGCGGGTGTACACTAAACTTCATCTATATAAACCAAACTAAACCCACTAACTTCAGTAAAAATTAGGTCACTCATGTATTTACCAAACTGAGCCTAGTAACTCCTGGGAATATATCATGATTATTATCAGAGGATGAACGCCGAATCGTTGAATTAAGGATTGCGTCATACTGGAGGGTCGGCCAGCTGATTGTGTAAACAAAGACCACGTGCTCAGAGCACGCGACCCTAGACAAGGTTCTAAAAGTAACCGTGTTTACTTGCCAACTCTGCCTGGGATACGAGGCAGGATGTGTTTTGTAGTCATGCCGTTTTTTCACTGTTAGTGTTATTTACACTGTTATTTCTGCATATAGAACGGTTGTATATGAGGAGTGAGAGCCCCCACAATTTTCTTGTTTTTTAAACAAGCATATACTTGCTAAACCGTTAAGTATTTGGCTCTCGTTCAGATCTTTTTAAGTAACGATAACGGTTTCACTATTTATATTCAGATTTCCGTGTTTTGCGAGATATAGATATATCAATATAGTATCTGGGACAATGGTTCCCCTGTACTACCCGTGTTCAGGGGACAGGGGTTTGGTGTTTGTAAAGGAGTTTGTTCTCGACTCACAATCAAGAATTCTGGGTTAGAATCCCGGCCGGGACAGAAATGGTTGGGTACATTTCCTATCGCCTAATATCCCTGTTCACTTGGCAGCAAGTGGGTACCCAGAAGTTTGTCGGTTTGTTGTGGGGGGGGGGTCTAATTCGACCTGGGAGGGGGGGGGCTCGATATAAGCTTAACGTGTGTAAATACACTGTTGCTTGTCTCCTGTCAAACGTATAAAATTGAACTGTTGGACCCGACAACCTTCACGTTTTGTATTTTAATATGTTTAAACATCGGCCTGACCTGACCCACCTATGACCTTCCCATTGTACCCACCAGTCATCCTGCAAAGTTGGAGGAGGTTAGTCACAAGCGTTTGGCCTCCAAACTTGGACAGACTCGCATACATTTCCTTGTATATATGTCTATAGGGAGACTTGTGTTCGTTTAAGATTGGAGGACAGATGAGGTGAGGTGAGGTGACAGATGTTTAGTGAGGCTAGCCTCACTAAACTCTTCATGGTGACTGGTGAGTGGTAGTGGATTGTCAATGGCGACTCGGCTCTCATGGCCCTATCAATTCTGTTAAGATGAAATGTTAGGTTCGAACTCTATAAAATTTTCATCTTTTTCATCATAATACAGAAATTGACATGCAAAATGCATGTTTTAATGGCAGATTTGCATGCTGGAGGCGCTCATCACTTAAATGGTGCAGCCTTTTGAGGTCGCCCCGGGCACCGCTGGGGTATCCTAACTGGTGTGTATATATTGGGTAGAGTTAATGATTATTTGGCATTTGTTTGGTCAGTTTACTAACTAGTTTTTGTTTAAATAAGTTGTCCTTGCATATATTTATTAAATGGAACAATTCAATGAATCTATTGGTGAAAATTCTCGAAACTGTAAATTGTTGACGTATGACGTGCGTATGTTTGGGTTATACACTTGTAATAACAGGTTATTCTGGCACCTGGTTGATGGGGTTCTGGGAGTTATCTTGAGGTTATCTTGATGATTTCGGGGCTTTTTAGTGTCCCCGCGGCCCGGTCCTCGACCAGGCCTCCACCCCCAGAAAGCAGCCCGTGACAGCTGACTAACACCCAGGTACCTATTTTACTGCTAAGTAACAGGGGGCATAGGGTGAAAAACTCTGCCCATTGTTTCTCGCCGTCGCCTGGGATCGAACCCAGGACCACAGGATCATAAGTCCAGCGTGCTGTCCGCTCGGCCGACCGGCTCCCACGAAGCTGCTTCTACTCCCCAAGCCCGGCCCGAGGCCAGACTTGACTTGTGAGAGTTTGGTCCACCAGGCTGTTGCTTGGAGCGGCCCGCAGGCCCACATACCCACCACACCCCGGTTGGTCCGGCACTCCTTGAAGGAAACAATCTAATTTCCTCTTGAAGATCCAATTTAAAGTCCTGGATGGGTATTGTAAGTGTTGATTGTCTGTTAAGGTTACATCTGCACAACTTGGAACTGGGATGGAAGCTAGTCGCCTAGCAGTAAATAGGTACCTGGGAGTTAGACAGCTGCTATGGGCTGCTTCCTGGGAGGGGGGGTTGTAACAAAAAAAAAAGAGGCCTGGTCGAGGACCGGGCCGCGGGGACGCTAATCCCCGAAATCATCTCGAGATAACCTCAAGATAACCATCAGAGATCAGTAACCAGGAGTGTGTCAACATACACGCAGCGCCGTGCGCACGAGACATGGAAATAAAAGAAAACCCCTAAAATATAACAGACAAAACACTATATTATTGTATATGTAATCTATTTATAAATTACAAATTGGAACAAAGTGATTTAAGACCAAGATTGGTGCTAACATCCCCGACCCCCAAACAATTCGTTGGGCACTTCCTTTTAGCCTCGATCTCGCCAGTTGCTTTTCGAAAGGAATATCAAGCCATTACACACATAAATCACAAATAGCGTGATGCATCAAATGAATCCACCAGGGCCGTGACGAGGATTCGAACTTACCTCCTAGAGGATCGAACCCGCGTCACGGCCCCTTGTGAATTTGTTTATGAAACCACCTTCACCGGAAAGGTTGAGCCTGAGTGACAGCCACACACACACACACACACACACACACACACACACACACACACACACACACACACACACACACACACACACACACACACACACACACACACACACACACACACACACACACACACACACACACACACACACACACACTTACTTACTTACTTACTTCCGAACAACAAAATAGAAACTGTACAAAAAGTGGCAGCCGAGCTCGGCGACTACTTGGGGAAACCGTGAGCTATTTGTGGCACCGTGGCTCTTCCCTGTGACGTGGCACCCAGGCACTCTCACGTGGTCTTGGCACACCCCTTCATGGTGGCTCTCATGGCAACGGGTAGCGGCGCAGTAAGTCCTCGGGGGCTTCCAGATAGTGAGTTAGGGGGTGGGGGAGGGGCAATGAGTGAGTGACGGCTTCGAGGAGGGGCAAGGAGTAGTGAGTGACGGCTTCGGGGAGGGGCAATGAGTGACGACTTCGGGGAGGAGGGGGCAAGGAGGAGTGAGTGACGGCTCCGGGGAGGGGCAATGAGTAGTGAGTGACGGCTGAGGGGAGGGGCAAGAAGTAGTGAGTGACAGAGAGGAACACAGATTAGACGTGTTGTGTCGACAAACACAGCTCTTGGGGAAAATAGTGCCCCGCCCCCCCCTCTCCACAAGAAAAAAAGAGAACACGGCCACACTCGGTCACTTTGTTCTCGGGCCAAAATAAAGTGTTCCTATTAACATAGTCATTAAGTATTGTATGGCGACGACGACTTCACAGATGACACGACCAGACCTAAAACAAACACAAACACACACACACACACACACACACACACACACACACACACACACACACACACACACACACACACACACACACACACACACACACAAAAACAATGGGTGGCGAACAGCTCTTAACAGACAGTATGGCGCCTCTTGTTCTACTGTGTGACGTCACGGCTGGGGCACTGCCCGCTCCGCTGGGCACTAAAAGTGGCATTGTGGCGTGGCACTATTCTGCTTCAAACAAGTAGCGCCGGGTGTGGTTTTAGCCGACTCTTTGTATCCTTGTTTGAAGTATCACATTCTATTTTTCTAATCCATATATATTTATAATTCAGTGGCATGAATTTGAGAAAATATCAAGAATTGAATTGCTGTAAAGAACAAGTGATGTACAGATACACCGCAGAATCGCCATAAACTTGGCAAGCCTCGCTTGTAACCCTTCACACAATGACAAACTGACTTAAGTTGAAAATGAGTCAACGCCAATGACTTATGTCACGATCAAGTGACCAAAGCAGTACTCGGGCGCCATCATGGTGGCAACAACCTGACTATCACTATACCTGACTAACATTACTGCAACGGGCTGACCAATAGTTTAGTGACGAATGTAAACACAGCGGGTTGACGAATGTTTCCGCAACGTAATAGCGGTCGTTACCACAGGCTGATGATCAGTACTGTACTGGCGAACACCATAAGATAGGTGGATCATAGCCCCAACTAACGAATACAGCCACAACTGCTAACAAACACAGCCATAGCTCCCACACAGCAGTATCAGTGAACACAATAGCTCCACACCAGCAGACGTTCACAGCAACGTCCACACCATCCTCAGCGGGCGTCCGGAAGGGGGGACTTCTCCATCGGGAAACCCGATGGAGAAGTCCCCCTCCACTGGCACACTTCAGAGCTACGCGGTACATAGCTCTTGGCTCGACGCCCGCCGGCCCTTCCTTACCCTAGAGGGTATTTATGGAAGCAGTTACCGCCAGGATAAGGAGCGCCAGGATGCCTTACTTGCACTTGGTTAATGCAAGCTTTGATATGCAGTGTGATAGTTTAGTATTCATAATTGCCTCTGAGACTCTCTAGAACACTGGCTCAATTCCCCGCTTCACTCCTAATGATTTTCCCATTCATAATACTCCAAACTATTGGATTTAATATTTGTGCTCGCATGAAAATAATCTTATTTATTTTATGCTAAATTTGTTTTAAGGTAGTTGTCAGTTTTATAAATGTTGCATTAAACTTAAACCATTTGTTTGGGAAGGACAAATAATTTGGATCTGACTTTTGTTACTTTTGTTTGCTGACTCTTGTTCATCTCGGTTAAAATTATTCAAACTGAGTAATGTGGCCTTTGCTGATGTACTTTATATAAAAAGTCTTACTTTGTAGTGGAAATCCTATACTGTTTGTTATATAGACTACGGTGATATATATAATATATATAGCCCTCCTTTACAGCATGCCGGTTGAAATAGTAGACCCTGATATGATCGGGGAGGACGGAGATGGGGAGGAAGTGACGGAAGGATCAGAGACAGAAGAGGAGGTGGAAGGAAGCAGCAGAAAGACAGAAGGACGGAAGGAGAAGCGGAAACCATCCATCCAGAGGGAGCTGGCCGACGCCATTGTTCGTTTAGCGCCCTTGGAGGAGTTAAGGATCTTGCTCAAATGTGGAGCCAATGTGAGTTATTCACTCTTATTACTTTCTTACGTTAACATAGTCTATTTCATTTCTTTTTGTGTGTGGGTTGGGTTAGTTGTGTGCAGCCTCGTTATTGTGACTGTTTTTATAGTGCTATAGTCGACTATATATTCCTAACATTATATAGAACAGCCTAGCATTTTTAACATCAATACTCACTCTTACCAGCAAGAAATTTCAGACTTGTCAGTCTTTCTTTGAACCATATATAGAAATAATTTGCAAGTGCGAGGTAGGCCTATACTTACATTAACAGATATAAATATTTTCTTTACTGATATTGGAGTAGATGATGATAGATCTTGTCTGTGGAAAAGATCTCGTTTCTGATTTCTTGCATTTTGTCCCAACAGGTAAAGGACACAGTGACCCAGGGCTTGTCCCCTCTCCACTATGCTGTGTGGCAACGGTATCCCGAAGCAGCTGAGTTCCTTATTGCTGAAGGTAATGTTTGTCTGACTCTCGTCTGTGTAAATGTCGAACTAAGATAAAAAATGTTGACATTCCCTTTTGTCCCGTAGATTTTTTGTGCATTGTTACTTATATTACTTCCTGCTCGTTCATTAAGAGTCCCGGAAAGACCGCCATATTAGCCTAACGTATATATATGCACAGGCTATCTGGTCCCCCAACAAAACGAATTATTATTATTCCTCTCTAAGTTACCCCTATCTCATTATACCGTTTTCTTCCATAGACTGCGACATCAATGCCAGGGATGATATTGGCTACACAGCGCTGCACCTCTCAGCCGAGCATGGTTACATAGACATGATGGAGGTCCTCCTCAAGCATGACGCGCAGGTTAACTTTAACATCCCACCGGAGGACGAGGATGATTTCCCCACAGACGCCTTCGACGAGCCCCTTCGGCTGGCCCTGAAGGTGAGCTGGCCAACGCCATTGTTCGTTTAGCACCCTTGGAGGAGTCTCATTAACTCTAAGTCTCATGATATCAAGTGTTCATAGATTGATTGTATTCTATTGTTAAGAGATATCTGCAGGTCTTTATGTTAATTGATCTGCTTGAGACGGTACAAGTTGAGCGGACTGTAATACAAATAAATTCTGTTATGCGTGAATCTTTCGTCCCTAGCACGACCACTTCGATGCAGCCAAGGTATTGCTGGAACATGGCGCCAACCCCAATACCAGGTACTTCTTTGGCTCTGAGATCAACTTGGTCAATCCCCTCAACACCCAGCTCCTCCACCTTCTGCTCTCCTACGGCGCCAACCCTAATGCGCGTGACAGACAGGGTTTCACCCCCATCATGAAGTGTTGTCGCTTGCAACAGGTAAGGTCCTCTGAGGGCGAGGGAAGGGATAACAGGATTTTTTGTCTTACTGGCAGCAAATGGCCTTCTTCCAGTGTTCCACTGTAAGATAGTGGCACACAACTTCATTGATGATGCTAATTTATATTGCTGTAGTGATGGGATTTATATAACAAATATATGTACTAGTGCAAATAAAAATTAGTTCACTACATAATGCAAAAAATCCTGTTCTACCTGCATCTAGATTTGAATGACAAGGCATGACGATAGTAAGAATTGCTAGTTTCGTTGGGTGATAAGATTAGGCTACCAAGAAGAGCATGTGTCTGTTAGCTGCTAGACTGGCTGTTGTGTATTCTAATATCACTTTAACAGTGATCATTGATTTAATTTGTTTGTGTAGAAAATTATTAGTTGTAAATTGCATTTTAAAAAACGCAATTTCATAGTGTGTGTGTTCAAACAAAGCTTTTGAAGTTGTTTAGTTTTAGTTAACATTGCATCTATTGAAAAATGTTGAATAATTTGTTTAAATGTGTAGATTAATTTGAGTCGTAAAAATTTTCAAAATTAGATACTGTAGGTATTTAAGCATTTTTATACTAGTGTACTTATTGAAGTCTTCCTTGTCAGGAGCAAGGCTTTACGTGTAGTTTAGTCAGTGAAGCGCACATATATATATATTCATGTATACAATATCAAACTCTGGTATTGTTTAGATTTTGCATAAAACTAATATTATGTTCTTAAGAGATGCTAAAGAGCCTTGATGCATTATCGTATTCCTAGTTGGTATCTTCCACACATTCTTGTGCGTCTGCAAGGAAGCTTCCCAACAACTTCTTAACTGAAACTTAACTCCATAGGAATCATTGAACAAGATGTATGTCCCTTTTTTGTGCATCTTGTTCGATTTAAGAATTTTGTTAATTTCTGATTACTTTTCAAATTATTCATATTTTTCTAAGTAGGCTAGATCTCTTGTCAGATCTTTGCTTTGCATGTAGTAGGCTGTCCTTGAATTTTTTTTTAGCTATAAAGCTTGTTTGCCAAAATTAATTTGCAAGTATATTTTCTCACCTTCTTTCAGATCTTTCTTCTGATCTGTTTTGATGTTTCACATTTAATCAGCAAACACAATTGCATTTTAGCTTGTTCTCCATGAGTGATGTGACTGCACACACACAAAAAATGCATTGTTCACCTGACTTGGCCTTCGTTGCCTGTTAGTTGACTTTGCTGGTCTAGAGTAGTTTCTCCTGCCCTGATCACCATTCCCCTCTCGTGAGCTCTTCCTCTCTCTCCCGAAGGATGCATCAGATGAGATGGAGAACCGTGAGAGTATCTCTGGGGTGGAGGTCCTGCAGCACTTCGCCCAGACCCTCATGGTGAGTGACTGCTGCTGCTGCTGGGGACGACCTGGTTCTTTAAGGCTCTCTCCTCATCCATTTACCTTCCCTCCCTCGACCTTTTGGCACGTTTCCCAACACCCAATGGTTCTGTTCACCTAGTATTTGTTACCGCAGGAGGCGGCTAGTTTTGCTTGTGCACCACGTCCACAACCTGTGAGCGGTAGCGTGAAAAAATGATTACCTAGCGGTTACTAGGCTCTAAGGAGTTAGACAACTGTTAATCCTGACAAAGACTAGGAGCTTGATATACTATCCAGGCTTCCTGTCCCTGATAATAGATCATGAATTTTTTTTAGCTACTCTACAATTTTCTTGCCTCGTCAAAAACATAAGTCATGTATTCATTCATTTATTTATTTTGCTATGTGCATAATGACTTGAGATGTCGAGGAGTTTGGCATATACCATATTAACCTATATGTTGTCCTATTTAAATATTGTCAATTCAGGACTTATTGTCACTGCAGGACATATAACTTGTATAACCATGTAGATAATCTTGCATGTTGTTGTGACTTCGACATAATTTATCAAAAAATAAAGATTAACACCAACTAATATACATAATATGACAGAGATGTGTACTCAGAGAGGTTCACACTGGTTCTCGGTGCATATAGGGCGAGTTTACTCTAGTTGCAGGAATGCATAGCAATATTCTGCCAATGTTCTCCATATGTTTGCTTATTAAATAAAATGTTGATGACTATTATCTTGAATTGTAGCTTTAATATCGTCAAATGTTATCAAACCCCCCCCCCCTTCTCTTGCTTAAGAGTTCTTTATGTTCCGCCGTATCTACCACCTTCATATTTTGTTGTATATGTTGGAATTCAAAATTGTAAGACAAACTATACTGTCCCAATCACTCATAAGGTATTGCCAAAATCCTACTCCAGTCATATTGGCCTACATTTCCATTGTCAAATAAGCCTACTATTCCTAATATTGACCTTCTGACCCTTGTATTGACCTTATCTCCAATCACTTTACTACGTCTTTGACATCCCTTTGATGGTCAAAAAAGTGTAACAATGTACTTCATCAATGCATCCTCTGAACACTCCACATTGTAAATTGTAATTTGATTTAAATTATATTAATTGTAATAATTAAAATGTCAAATTTCTGAGGATAGAACAAATTATCCGCTCAATAGATTAGTCAATATTTTGAAATAAACTTGATCTAATTAACTTTATTATTTGGTAAAAAAAAATGCTGGTTACAAATGAGCGGTCTTCATAGTAACTGAGGAAATGAGGTGACAGTGTGGCAGTGTTAGGACTGAGGAGGTCTCCTAACAGTCTGTGGGAGGGCAAGGAACCAGGTCATGCATTGTAAGGCCTTTAGACAGCCTGGCGTCTGGCACCTCCTGGCACCCAACACGGCACTCGCTCCTGTATGTGGTTCTGTACACAAATATTAAGTACTTGTCTGTACTGCATATTATGTACTATTATTTTCAATTTAAAACCTTCTTATATTATCTCCCGGTCATATTGGGATGATAAATTTTGCTAAATAAATTTCAAAACAAAAAATATGGCGAGTGTTGGATCCTAGAGGGTTGTCTGACGCCTTATTAGCCTAGTCTCCCCCTCTGCCGGCATTGGTTATCAACTTTAATTACAAAACTGTTAGATATTAATTGGTGTTCTTGTGCATGGAGTCTGTTCTTGTATTGCTTTACCATAATTCCTTGTCATTTGTTACAAAACATATTCAGTGCCGGCAAGCAGCTTCACTCATTATGATTTTAATTTTATGTACAATTAAAAAGGGAATTCCAGAAACCTGGCCAGAAACACTCTCCAAAACAGGAATGTCGTCGTCAAGTCACGGCAAGAAATAGGTTTTGGAACCTATCGCTGTCCTTCTCTCTTGTGCAGTAGAGCTCTGAAGTGTGGTGGCTTCATCTCGCATTAATGAAATACTTTAATAAACCTTCACCAAATAAGAGTAAAACTGTTTCCGTTGTTATTGAAGCTTAGTGTGTAGCCTATCCAAGAGTTTCCCAAAATGTGTTCTTCAGTAAACATCAAGAGTAAACTCGGCGATATTCCCCCGTGTACTCGTCTGACCATAGGAAAATAAGTTTCTGTAAGTATTTAAAAAGAGTATTTGGAAGTACATAATTTAGATTTTTATTGAAAGTATTTGTTTGCGAAGTTTTAGATAGATAAGCTACGCGCAATGTTTTGTGCAAGCATTAAAATTAAACATTTGTTATACATTGATAATATCTTTAGTCCCGAAGCCATACTCTCGCCCGGAAGTAACCCGGACACTTGTATAATACATCGGAAGTCTTGCTCTGTGCTCGAGTTACAGCCCCGCTCCTGTGCCAGGTAAGTCTACTACAGGCTCGCCATAGCCCGTGCTACTTCGAACTTTTTGTTGCAAGTAGCGAATCTTAAACAACTGCTCTGTGCTGCAATGCCATAACGGTAGACGAGTCCCACGCAGCAGAACACAGCATAGGAGTTTCTTTTAGCAGTACTTCTGTCTGCAACAGGCAACAACGTTAGTCTCTATGCCTTGGTGTTCAAATACAGAGTACAAGTGTATTCGCAGCATAATGATTCTGTTACTCTGTAACTCTGCGAATACGTTTGTCCGCACACAGATATACTGTGGAGTCACATAATACATACATATTCATACTTAACTTTTAATACTAGAAGAAGTGGATTTAACAAGTTTAAATGATCACTTGCATATATAACTAACAAGGTATACATTTTGTTTGGTTCATTTTGCTTATTCACAATATAAACATTGATCAGATACATGTATCCTGACCCTTTAAATCTAATTTATTTTTTGCTTTCAGCTTTGTGGAATGGTTATATGACTACATAATAATAATAACGCAGTCTAACAAAAATTTCTGGGTAGCAAGGGTTATTTTATACAAAGTATACAAAATTCCCCTCGATTTGCTTTGACCTTTGCCTCAAACAACTTTAAGGAAGGTACCTGAAGGGTGCCAACTTAGGAAACAACGTGTCACACCTCTAGAAATGAGTCGGGAGCTGTCAGGTACATTAAAAACTAATTTCCTAAGCTGTCTTGGAGAAAGGTCAAAGCGAAATTTGAGAGGAATAAGTAATTTTCTATAATTTAAGAGGCATAAGCGATCATATCAAAATTTTTATACATTGTGTAATAACTGTTGTCGGGGACAGGAAGCCTGTTTACGTTATCGAGGTCCCGCTAGGTCAACATTATTGACCTCTCCCAGGATGCAACCTACAATTGTTGTCTTGACTCCCGCGGGACGGGCTTAACGCTAGGTGAACAGAAGCCTCGGGTGAAAGACAACATGCCCAGGGAATGAACCCGGGGTTGAGCCGAGGATGTAGATCACTGCACCTCTCTCTCTTCCTGCTTATTTGAACATCAGTCGTCTTGTTGATCTTAGTACTTCTAGTTTGCCGACTATAGCTTTTTGCCTCTTCCCACTTTCTTCTGGACCTTCTTATCCTGACTTCTGCCCCCCCCCTACCCCCAGCCTCACCCACCTGTCCTAGCCTCTTATCCTGATCTCTTGCTCCAAGCTTCTGACACCACCTATTCCCGTCCTGTCCTAGTCTCTTGCCTCACCCACATGCTCTTCTAGTTTTTTGCTAGCGCCTCCTGTTCGTTTCTCTCGCCCACGAGTCGTATCAAACTTCATTCCAAGCTCATATACTTCCTATCCAGGTTTTTGCCCTAGTCTCCTGTCGTAGTGTCCTGTCCTTTTCTTCTGCCTTAGTTTTCTACCGAAATCTTCTATCCTATCCTGTTCTTCTAACCTAACTTTCTGCCCTAGTCTGTTACCTAAGCCTTGTCTCCTAGATCCAGCCTCTTGACCTGGCCTCCTCTTACTGACGTGCACTCAGTTCTCATGGAGTTTTCTCTTCTTCTACAGGGTTTGGAGGCAGTTCTTCTCCTCATCTCCTTTGGAGCCAACGTCAACGCTCGCACAGAGGCACGCCACGACTACAGGTGAGCCTTTTTCATACCTAAAGTTGTATGTAATAGTTCGTATCTGAAATTGCATGTTAAGCTTGATGCATTCTGATGCACGCTGCAGAGCATTCCTCAGCCACTCAAGTTGAATGAAAGGCTACCTTATGCATTAGTCAACCCATCCTACTGTTTAAATATAGTAGGTATTGTGACGATCGTCAATAGTCACGAATTCGTAGGTATTTAGCTTTTAGATAGTAGTATACTGACTAGTAAGGAATGATTTTAAAATGAAGCTAAACAACTAACCTAAATATTCCTAGGCCTAGTATAGGACAAATATGTACTATATTAGGCCTCGGATATCGTGTATTAGGCCTAGGGAGGTTAGTTTGTCAAAGCAACTAGAGTAAAAAACTAGTTTTCTAGTTTGTCCAACTAAGTATTTCGGTTTTCTACTTTCTAATTTCGCTGTACGTCGGAATATATGCTATGGTCCTCATCGTTACTATCAGTACTACCAAAACAGGAGGATGGGCTGGCATTAGTTGCACGAAGACTATATTCTATCTCATAAACCGATGGGGAAAATATTCTATTGTAATACTGTACACAATGTGTTAACTTTTTATTGTATTTGAGCTTGGATAGCTTTACTTTACAATTGCTTCTTGAAAAACAAAATGTTCTTTGTTCCTCTCTTTGAAAATGGAAAACCCAAGATTTGTTACTTGTTATTGTCCTTAGCGTAGCGCTCAGCGCAATCGGTTCACAACCCAGTGGTCCAGGGTTCGACTCCCGGGCAGGAAGAGACGTTTGGGCACACTACCTTACACCTGAGAACTCTACATTGCACCCTACGTAACCTCCCCCCCCCCCCTCCATCTTCTCCCTGACGCCCCCACACGTGATCATCTCTGCTCTGGAAGCGGTTAGGCACCATTCCTTTCCCCCCTGTCCCATCGCAAATCCGTATCGTGACCCCCTTTTACGTGCTTTATAGTCGTAATGGTTTGACGCTTTCCCTTGATAATTAAAAAACCTCTCTGCTCTGGACAATCGCTTCTGTTCCAACTATGACCATACATTTCTTGATATAAAAATGTACAACACTACAGAGTGTCACACCCAGACTGTTCTCCATCAGCCCTACCTGTATTATATTGTCGTTCTTCAATACTTGTGAAGCTTTAGAATTAACACAACTTGCCTTTTTTACCAGTGTGAATGTGCTATTTAGTTCTTGTAAAAATATTTTTACTTTTGTGATGCTTTATACTCTTCAAAACTTTTTTTTTTCCTAATAAAGTGAATACTTTATTTGGATTTTGTATATGACTATAGTAACGCATATTATTTCAGTTCCTGTGAAATAATATTTTTTTTATTCAGTTTTAGCTATAGTTTATTTTTTTAATCGGTATATTACTTTTATTAATGTTTTAATAGTAAATAGAGCATGATTATCTAGTGAATTAATATAGCATTTAGATGTACAGCAATTACATCATATTAAAAGCCATAGTTGATATGGATGTGACTGACAAAAACATCCATGCAGGTAGTGTAGCCTAAATATGAAACCCAACCCAGCATTAATCTTTTGTCCTTGTTAAACAAATGAAAATATTGGAATATATTCTCCAGCTTTTTCTTTTTTGTTTTGTTTCCCCCTCTTTGTCTTCAGGAGGAATTGCCTTTTTTTTCACTCTTCCCGACCATCTCTTGCGAACCCCCTCAATAGGTCTGTGCTCCACTACGCTGTCCTCTCCGGCTCCGTCGCCATCGTCAACCTCCTCCTGAAGCAGGGCGCCAGGGTCAACTTCGAGCCGGAGTACAATAAGCCAACGCCCCTCGACCTGGCCATTCTAAAGGGCGATGTCGAGATGGTGCGACTGATTCTTGAACACAGTGAGTCGATCTTGATGATGGGTTTTTGTACCGCGGTTGAATTGTGTTGTTCTTTGGTGGTTAGTCTGCAACCAAACCTTTTGGTGAGAGTATTGTTGGTAGTCGCCAAAGGCTCTTTGTGTATAGTTATTGTGGTGATCTCAAAATAATTGTAGAAAGACCTAAATGATTTTAATTTATTTTGAAACAAAGCAGCTAACTAAAACTACTCCATCCTCCTATCACAGTCGCTTCCCTGACCTCGTGTCCCTAACATGTGCTATATAGTTATCCTGGCTTGCTGCTTTCTCTTGATAATTAATATTTTTAGTTAACAAGAAACCACATAGTAATATAACAATATAGTGAAAAAGAGGGAACATTGATAAGCCTACATATCATCTACATGTCAACTTACACATAATACACTTAAGAATGACCTCGTCATTATCACCAGCTAGTTTCCTACTGTGGGGCATCAGCTGGTACAAATAGGCGGGTAATATAAAAAGAAATTATAAAAGGGCAAGTAAAAAGCCGAACTCCCAGGGGAAAGGGGGTAAAGAAAGCTCAATTTGAAATTGAAATTAGTTTGTGTGTAGAGTATTTATACCTCAATAAAGGGATGAGGTAGGTCAAGCTCTTCTCACCCTGTTCAGTACAATGTGTTCATGTATGTATAGACACTCATCACCAACAAGTAACATATTACTGAACATTGAGTGATAAACATACATTTCCTCCTTTACACATGCAATTCGTTATTAGACGTACACACATACTTTTATGACTAGGTACACAGACAATTTGCAGTAGGCATTAAGACAATTCAACAAAGCTACAGTCTTGGTGCAAAATTCCTATATCTCGCCAGAGTATCAAGCTTTCCATTGTGACACACCCAGGCTATTTATTCAGAAACAGTCCTTATATCGGGTTTTCTATATACATTAATCAACGGGCAATCAAGAACATAATGAGTGAGTGTGCGAGACCTTAACATACCAAATAGTTTACACTTGGTTTCATTATCATTAACACCTATTCCATATAATAAGCTCAAATAAATTGAAAAGCCTAGCTCCCAGAGGCAGGGGTGGGGGAAGAGAGCATATTAGAGTAACGTTAAATCAAGGTTGATTTGCCCCTGCCGGAATATATACAGTGAGCTTCCCAGTATCTATTGTTGAGGTTAGTTATTAACACTTGTTGTTTCTCTTAAAAATGCTAGCTAATATTTGTACTTGTCATGCACCACAGATCCGGATTTAGATGCCAGCTCTCCCATCATCGGATCTCCCCTTCACATGGCTTGTAGTGAGGGCATTCCCAACCGCCTAGAAATCTTGAAGCTGCTCTTGGAAAAAGGGGCGAACCCCAATCTGGTGATCGTTGGGGAGGACAACACTCCCATCAAGCCGGCCCTGGGAGAGTACCTGGCCTCAAATGAAGATCCTGATGTTGAGGTTGTAAACCTCTTCCTCAGATATGGTGCAGAGGTAAGGCTGGGTGATGCGTTAGAAAATAATGTAAGTAAGGGGTGATTGTGTTGGTTCGATTCACGTGCAGGCGAAGCGTTTAACCACGTTGCTTTGCACCTGCTGCCTCTGCTTACCTAGCAGTAAAAGGTGCCTGGGAGCTACTGTTGAAGGTTGCATCCAGGACCTATGGTTAGTGAATGGAGACCTTAGCCTATTACAAAAAGGACATTTCAGTGTTTTCGGCAATGGGAACCATATTAAGAAAATAAAATTTAGCTTAATAATGTCAGACACTAATAAGTTGACCGCAAAATGTTATATTCTCAATAGACTGAAAGTTGTATATTTAAATAAACCTGTTTGTTGGTTGTAGGATAGTCTTCAGAGTTCTATAAGCTGCTTATTCATCAGGTTGTGATGCAGAGTCAGAACAGAGATCCCCGTGGGCTCCTGAATTGCCTTCCAAACCTCACCAAAAGACCAGATGTGCTCATCCCTCTCCTGGAGGCTGCACACCGCTTCGACCTCGCCATTATTAAACATTCATCACTTATTGATAATGACCAGAGAAAGATCTACCTCAAGGTATGCTATAACACTTGGACATGATTATATTTCATAATTTGTCTGAGAATAACTACAGTATTGCAAAAGTAAGAGTATTATATGTATAATAAATGTATAGTTCAGTTTTGTATAACTTATATATATTACACAAGGTTAATTAGTAACTTGCAGAACTATATAGTATAATTCACTACCATAATATCTCTCGAGTAATATTATTTCCAACACTTATCATAAGTTTTTTTATAATACAGTATATAGGAAGATATAGATATACCTATTGAGAGGTATATTCCGCTTCTCATTGTATATACATTGATAGTTTAACTTACTGTGGTATGTGTTCAGCACTAAAGTATACTTGCAAGGGTTAGGTTAGGCTATGTTGCGTTCGATCAGGCTAGGCTATGTTAGGTTATTCTCCCCTCAGACCAATAGTTGAATTTGTTTACTAATCTAGTTTTTTGGGTGATAGGTTGGCCAGTCTCCACTACCCCTCAAACATCTAGTACGCGTCTTCCTGCGTCAGGAACTTGCCGAGAAAATCCCACTCCGGATTGATGAACTTGATCTTCCAGTCATTATGAAGAAGTACCTGCTGTATGAAATTAGTTAACTGATCGGTCACCGCTAGTATTTAAGGTCTAGTTTTGATATTACTATTGTGCATTATTGTATACTGTGTATGCTTCATTTGTATATTTGTTTAGCTGACATGTGATTCTTACAGGTTGGTTCTCTGTTCCAACTTGTTTCATTTGAGTAATGAATTAGTTTTAGTTATTGAAACTGTATGAAAATTAGTCTGCGTTTCGTTAATATTTTAGTCAACTATCAGGAATATTTTCGCCAATTTGATACAGATCTATTAGAAGAATAATTTGACATGTAAACCATAACTAAAACTCTGCACTTTACCACAGTACTGTGGTTTTCACAACTAAAAGATTTGGGTTTACTTTGAAATGCAGAAAGTTACATTTCCTGATTTCCTACTTGCTTGTGATATTTCTTTACTGAGATTTTATATATATATAGGCGTATAGTACATTACAACTTCTTAAGATAATTTGCGGCTGGTCGGGAACATTTAGCCAACACAAAGAGTGAAATCTCATTGTTGGAGGCTCATTGAAATAGCTTAGATTATTGACATCAATAAATTGCATATGTGTAGTTTACCATTAATTTGTAATGTATCTGATAACGATGCAAGTACATTGGCTTCAAGTAAACTTACACCGGGTTGTCACTAGCCAAATAAACTTAGCTCTGTTAATCTGTCTTCTGAGCTTTGTATTTTTCTTAAATTAACCGATAATAAAATTGATTTTGTTAAATATCTTACGAGAATATCTTTGCAGCGGGACTGCGGGATGGCACCTCTGTCCCGGCTAACCCCTCAATCTAAAAATGTTGTCATGGATCTATCACGTTATTGTGATTTTCATTGTGTATTAGAATTTGTATATATTCCGACAAACACGGCATATAGTTTATTTAAAAGCTGAAAACAATTCTGTGACTGCCGCCATGGTTGTATTAGATGAATCGTCTCGTTAGGACGACAAGTTAGTTAGGGTTGATATTTCAGTTTACCTTTAATAGTGTCGTTCACAATAACTATTGGGTATGTATTAGAAATTTCATTATTTGAGGCAAAGAGGTATATTCATTGCCACTTTACCATATAGAAAGAGGAAAAATCCCTCCTGCCCAGCAGTTAATTTGGAACAACACTGTTTTGTTGATTGGAGAAACACAGGTAAAACTGAACACATTACCACGTAGTTTTAATGAACTTTCATTAGTATGTAAAGTAGGTTTTGAAATATTTTTACATATCAAATACTTTTATATGTATATGGGTGTTGTGTTTTGTATTGTCAGTTATTTTTGTAAAACAATATATATGTATATATATATTATTTATGTACATTTTTTACTGTTTTTTATTTTAATATTATGATATAAATAAATGAAAATCAAAACTTGCTAACAAGATGTATCTCGGAATAATTTTTTGACAATTTTTACCATATTAGAATTTCTCAGATCAATGATGCATTTGGCCAATGAATGAGGCCAATGCGATACAAATGGATTGTAAATGGATAGGCTAGCAAGCTGCCACCATTGTTGTTGCATAAGTAAAGGCGAACAAGTTTGCTTTATACTGTATTTGAGAAAGAATTGGTTAATAGGAATTTTAAGTTTGTTTAAAAATCATTGAACCACGTACACCAAGCAAAGGTTAATTTGTGGGATGGTAAGATGAGTTATTTTTAACGCAATGGTTAATTAATGATTTAATGTTAACCCTTATGTGCACATAATTCCAGGACCTCTGTAATTTTTATTGCTAATTATCTTCTCATAACTGCAAAATAAGATTTGTACTGCAGAGTTTGTATCCAACAGTATTACAAGTGTATATAAATAAGTATATTATACAATATTATATATAATACAACAATATATATAACGGTATATATATATACACAGCAAATAATCTGGTATATTTTTCCTCCATATAATTTCTTGATATTATACATAAATAATATTAAGCTTTTATACTTTACTATTGCAAAAATTATTTTTGTAAATGGAGAATAAGAAATATTTTAGAAATTGGTAATATGCATTTCTCAAAATGGATGAGAGTATATTGCGACAGAAAGAAAATGCAACTTGTTGGTCAGTTTGAGGCTCTGTTAGCAGTACTAAAATACTCCTGGACATTTCATCTTTCCTTCCTAGTATGGTGCTAGGACTTAACAGGAAGAGTTGTAGTGTTGAGATGCCAATACTCTGATAAAAGGTATTAAACAGTGTCCCCCAAATCTCTACCTAACTACATGTCTAGATCGTTGAGATCTTCAGTAGCAGATAGGCTTGTACGCTTCTTATGTATTGGTTTGAGAATAAAGTTGTTTTAACTTGTATGTATTAATATTTTTCATAGCTCTGTAGCACAATGGCGTACATACTCGCCTGAGACAGAGGAGCTGGGCTAAATCCCCGGGTGGGACAGAAATAAGTGGGAACATTTCACCCGATGCTAATGTTCATCTAGCAGTTAGATACCAGGGAGTTAAGGAATCGTGTAGAGTTAAATGCTGGAGATAGTCATTAGTAGATATAAGGGTATCCTCGATAAGCCTAGACACAGGCTTCCTTTCGAGACAACAGGAAAAGGTTAATGAGCAATGGCAAATACGCTTAATGTTGCGCATTAATTTTTGTTTAGGCTAAATACTCCATGCAGTACAGCGTCCTCCCTTGTATCCAAATCCATGTAACTAAAACAACCAAGAACCGATTTGAATTCTCAGGATATGGAGCCATTTATTTCCGCTACCCACCTATTATATAAAGTGGCCAGTGGATGAGTATTTTCCCCATTGTTGTGGCTAATGATTATTCTTGAAAGTCAATGACAATTGGATAGCAATAAAGTAGATAATATATCCCAGATATTAACCCTTTTATTACACATTATCCTATGTGTAACCTGTGGCTGTATTCCTCGGGGCTGTTCAAACCACTACCATACAGCGTTGCAAGGGAAGAAGGAATCATTGGTGAGAATCTCAAGGAAACAAGACACTTTATCCAACCTTTATTTTATCCCGTTATCCATAAAGAATCTGGTAGACCTTTAACTAAAGGAAGCTAAACCGGGAACTAATGTATGATTTACGTTCAAACAGTGATGTAATTATAAACAAAGTACATAATCTATTCGCCGTGACAGCATTTGTTTACGAACCCTTCGTAACCGGGTTCTTTGTTCCAAGTAGCAAATCTTCAACAACAAAGTTCCAAGTAGCACGGGCTATGGGCTCGGTTCTTCTTAAAACTATGATCATGCTCAAGTTCAGAGGACCTTAACCTTGTTGGAAATTTAACACTTAATTCCTAATCTCTAGTACAATAACTTTTACTAGGTGTCATAACTACTAACCCGTAGTTCAGAGAAAATTAAATTATTTAGTAGAGGCGTAGTATCGCCCGAATTCTCTTAAAATCATGGGTGTTGCGTCAGCCAGCTAGCCACTGGGAATTTCCACTTTAATGGATGGAGTAGAATCCAACCTTATATTGCCTTTTTATTAAGGCTAGTCTTTTATTAATAGATTTGCCTTTAGTTAGTAAATATCATTTACTGGAATTTATCCAACTACGAACAGCACCAGTTAAAGTGGAATTTCCACCGAATCTCGTTCACTTTATATTTAAATTGACATCTACAAGAAAGCCATGTTGTGCACAGTACATTACGACGTAAATATTCGTCATACCCTCTCCTTCCTTACTGAACATTAAGTGAATATTATGATTTATACTTTGGATCCCAGCCTTGGGAGCGATTGCGCACGAGACACCCGAGTAGAGGAAGGGGGAAGACATGCGAGAACCGCCATTGGAGGTGTTCTGAAGTTTGCTCATTGACATCGGTCCCAGTTCGGAGCACCTGGCCACCTACAGGCTGCAGACTGATGCTGCAACTTCAATCATTTACGGATACCACGTTTGGCAGGGTATAAGTATCTTTACTAAACTGTACAGGCCTTTGTATTCCATTAGGTTGTTTCCCTCTCGTTACAATGCGTGGCAACATTAAATCCCACGTAAGTGTACTTTTGATCCCCAAAGCCATTTAGAATTTACGATTAAATGGATTTTTCTCCGGTTTGGAGTGGAATTTACACATTTGCATTTCAGCAGCAGATTAACTAGGGGGGAAGGGGTAGACGAATCTACCTATGAGTGTTTTTCGAGAGCTGCTGACTAACAAGATTAAATGGGCCGAGTTCGTCAGACGTGATCTACGTTCATCTTAGACAGCTAAGCTGATTACTTTTTCAATTTGTAGGTTGACGAATTATTAATTTCCAGTTATCACACAAGTGATTTATTAATGTATGCGCACTAACATCAATATTTCATTATACCAAGTGTATTTACTTTTATTTTAAGTGCATTAATTTCCTATTATAGAATAGCGAAGTTTTAAGGCATCAGGATTTAGTTCTGAATTACTACAAATATTACAGTTCATGCCTATAAATACTTAAATCACAAGTATTCATTATGCCAGATCTAAACGCTACTGCTTCTCTTTAATAGAAATCTGGTCCTTCGAAGCATGTAGCATTATTTGAGAACTAGATACTCCCCCACAAACCTTGGTGGAAATATAGGTTAATGTTTAAGGTAAATTAATAAAATATCACTTCAAAGTTATCCGTTATTATTACCCATCACCATTTAAAAGTTTCTTTGTGAAGTCGTCCAGAGCAGTCAGTAGCCCTGAGTGATAACTGACTATATGGCTCTGGAGAGGTTTTTCCAAGCACGGTCAGTCCGTACGCTGGTGGTAGTTATGGAGAAGCCTTAAAGCACTCCCCCCTCCATAGTGCACTCGCGGGTATGCTCAATTAGCGAAGTCAACAACGCTCAACTAGCCCCACTGGCTAGTTGGTTACGCCTTCCAGGAGAGAAGTCCACAACGCCCAACTACAGAGACCACCTAGCACCTTCCACTGGAAAAGTCCACAGCGTTCAACTAGCCGTACTGGCTAACACCTTCAGGTCGACACAAGTACTGTTCTACTCTCTCGCCTTCACTGCCTTCCATGGCCTGTCCCTGGTTGGTCGTCACGTTCCAGCCCAGCAGACTAGAAGATGGGAAACTACGATTAATGGGAGGGTCAACTGCTATAGTTCGGCACCTGGATCGTAGATGGCGCCGAAGTCCGTCATATTTTTGTGCATCGGAAAAGATTCAGGTGAAAATTGTGTTCAATTTTGACTCTGTGACCTGGTACTTTAAAACTATTGTTGGTAATAACAGGTCTACAAAATATGTTAATGAACAGGTACAGTAAGTTGAAAATAACAACTTTAAACATTTAAGCTGGGGATCATTACTGGTTCATTAAGAGACTCGTTGGTATTTGGGGAAGTGAAGGAGTGGTTGTTGGCCATTGATAATTGACACTTGAGACGCGCAAAATGTTAACCAATGGGGGTGAGTTTTAGAGTGAAATGTCAACCAATCAGCGGCCAGGTTTGGTTGGCTGCTGGGTATAAAAGAGACGATGAGTCCAAAAACCACTTCAGTGTGTTTTACCTCACTTTTGGTATACAGTTCCAGGGTCGTCTCTTGAAGGTTAGTTGTATGTGGGGGGATTATCCCCCAGACTTTTTTCCCCCCCTTGGTTCGCCCACCCATGCCTTTTTTTTCTCTTGTCCCCCCCCCCCGTTTTTTCCCTTGTCCTGCCGTTTTTTCCCTTGTTGTCCCCCCCTCCCCGGGTTTTTTCCCTTGTTGCCCCCCCCCCCGTCCCCCCTCCCCGGGTTTTTCCCTTGTTGCTCCCCCCCCCGTCCCCCCTCCCCGGGTTTTTTCCCTTGTTGCTCCCCTTCCCCTGCCTTTTTCATTTAGTCCTCCCCCCCCCTGTCCTTTTTTTTCACTCCCCCCCCCCCCTAATTTTTTACTCTTGCTCCCCCCCCCCCCCTGCTTTCTTGCCGCCGCCCCGCGCGTTTTTTTACCCGCGTTGCTAGTACAGGCAGTAGTGAAGTGTAACTGAAAGCCACCATTATTTCAGAATTGATTTGACTGGAAGGTGTATGTGCGTGTAATGCTGCGCGAGCCACTGTTGCAGACCAGAAGTGGCTTGTAACTCTCCTCTACCCCACACTTGTGTCACGTGAGGTAAGCCCTTAACGTTTGGACTTTAAACATTAAATGGGTTAAATGTATATTACCAATTTGAGTAAAGTGTAGAATGGGGTTACTAGTTTTTAAAACGTTAAAGTACGGAATGAAAACAAAATTTAATATTTGATAACACGACTTAAAATCAGCAGGCTAGATTTAACTGTTACTTGGTAACTAGGAGTTTTAAACAAATCGGTATATGTAAATGTGTAGGACGTAATTTCATGACTATTTTAAGCATGAACATTAAGTTCACAACTTCGGTCGTAGATATTGTAAAAAATCTTACTCCAATGCTACTGTATTTTATCATTCATGAATTCAATGTTGGAAGAAAATAGTAGAGGCAATAAATTAGTTCGTGTATCGTGGTAATGGTCAGTGACTAGGGCTTTTGGAATATAAAGCGCCTCAAACTGTCTTTACAAATTGTGTGTGAATTTAGCAGTTTGCACGTGTGACTGAAAACTGACAAATTGAAAATGAAACATTGAAAATAAAAATTGGAAAATGCTCCAAACGAATAAAAGGTCTTGTAGTAGGTTAGGGCAGAAAAATCTCCTTAAATGTTGAAAAGGCATAAGAATTGTCCTCGCCTAACGTAATTAACTGGAGGACCCCCAAAAAAGGACAGTAAAAGTTTCGTGGGGCGATTTAATGTAAAAATACATTAGTGTTCGGCCATAAGGATCTAAAAAACTTAGTAGGTAAAAAAACAGCATGGTACTAAAGACTTAAGAATGCTGAATTAAGTTCAGAACAGGAATTCGTAAAAGTAGTCAGAAATGTTAGATAAGGAGGGGCAAGAGAAACTAAAGTTCGCTTAGTAGGGCAAGCAAAGACAAATCCTAAAGGGTTCTTTTGTATCTAACAGAGTAGGGAAAGGATAGGTGCATTAAAAACACAGGTCAGATAACGGATAGAGATTATTATTTGTAATATTGTTTATTAAAGAGGAACTTAACAATGTCTTCAGCCGAAGAAGTGTGTGGTTGGGGATGAGGACAGGTTGACTAGTTTGACAGTTACAAGGGAGGATGTAATTAAAGAAATGGTAAAAACTGGTAGGCCATAAATCCCGAAGGCCGGATGTAGTTTGCCAGGGTGCTTAAAGAATGTAAAAAGAGCTTTGAGAGCCAGTGTACGATCTAAATTAATAAAAATGAAAATGTTAGGTTGTTAAAAATGGCTAATCTGCGAACGTTCTTCAGTGATTGGT